TGTGTTGTGGGACTGGCTGGCCACCACTGCCCCTTGGCAGCCTGTGCACCCCAGTGGTAGCAGAAACCTTCCTCCTGCCTTGCACGGCCCAGCTGTGACCATACCATGAACTAGGGATGCACAGAACCTCCCCAGCTGCCAAAGTAATACTTGGGCTCCTGCTCTGCACCTCCCCTTGGGGAATGCTGTCATGGACAGAGGAGGAAACCTGCTCACTGCAGGCTAAACTCCAGTCCCTCTCAGCCAGCGCTCCGGGCTTTTCTGTCCCCTGTAACCCAGCCATGCCAATTTTGCCACATGCACACCAGAGCTAAGCAGCAAAGGCACAGCACACTTTCTGAGTGGATAAATGCATTAAACAGCCAAGTGTCTCTCCTGTTACTGACACCATCATGACCCTCTGTGTGCCATGGGAATGCTCAGAGGTTTGAGTTCGGCCTTGTAGCACTGGCTGACGTACAGGTACAGATACACTGCATGGCAAGACAGCCTCTCCCAAGGTGTGTCCCACCACAGCGGGTCCTGGTGCTCACCATGGCACGGCTCAGAGCCACCCTGCTCACCTGCACACATCTCCAGAAGGTGGCTGGGTGGGCTGGGGACCCAGAGGGGGTAAAGGATGGGGGTCCTGTCCATCAGATGCCTGGGCTGGTCATGCCAGTCCCCTCCCCATCCCCTAAGTTTGTTTTCCATGCCACAGCTTGCTGAAATCTGAAGCACAGCCACATCTCTGCCCTGCCCAGGAAGACCTGGGGCAATGTTGGTATCATTAAGCGCTTAAAGGGCGGGGCGGGCCAGGAGGTGTGGCAAGGAGGTGAGAGAAACCTGTAGATCATGTTTGGAAGAAGCACATCTTGTGACACCCTGGCCATCCACAGGAAGTACAGGGACAGTCACCCTCAAAAGGAGCAGCACTGGGCAGCCTCCCTTGAGGGACGCGCCTGGCTCTGCAACTCCCGGCCATAGCTTCTCCAGCATCCCCGCCCCAGCACACCGTGGGACATGGCTGCTCGCAGAGTAGCCATCATCGGCGCCGGTGCCTCCGGCCTCTGCGCCCTGAAATGCTGCCTGGATGAGGGGCTGGAGCCCACCTGCTTTGAGAGGAGCAAGGACATCGGGGGGCTCTGGCGCTTCGAGGTAAGCCCTGCACAGCCAGCCTGTTCCTCGGCAGCAGCACGGACGGGCTGGGGATCGGTCCTTGGCAGATAATGACACACCGCTCCCCTGCTTTGCATCTGTGCAGCAGGCAAGTTTCAAAAGAAAATTAAGGCAAGTAAAACTGATTTGGCAGCGTGGTGCCAGCTGGTGTGCCAGGCACATAGGACCCAGCCCCTGCTCACCAGCAGCAGGATGAAGCCTCCCCAAGGACTTCACTCCGTGGCTTGCTCCCCCAGTGCAGTTTTCCCCTTTCCCATTCCTCCCTTCCCAGTCTAATCCACACCTTCCTCTGCTGTTTTGCTCTTGGTCACTCCTAGCCCTTGCCTACCTATCTTACCTGCCCCTACTGTCTGTCCCTGTCTTGCCCAGCACTTTCTGGGAGTCATGGTTGCTCCTCTTTCTGTGCCACTCGCCCACACAGAGACACCGTGTCCTGCCTTCTCTGTCCCTTGGCCCTGTCCCTGCCTTGGAGCAATCCTGGAGCTCATCTCTCCCCCACCTAATGAAGCTGCTGACTTTAATCCCATGGACCACCAACAAAATGACCAGTGTTCCCACCATGCCCTGATATGCGTGTTGGAGAGCTCTGGGGGACACAGGTGGCATCATGCCAGAGTGGGGTCTGGTGTGGATCTGTCACAGTCCACTACTTCTACCTGTGATGGGTCGGGGACAGGGTTGGTGGAGCAGAACCGCAGCAGCAGCATCCAGTTGTCAAGACACAGACCTGGTAAACAGGAGCAACCACTCAGCAGGAAGCACTGGAATTGGCTCCACAACTGGTGAGACCTAATGTGACAGCCAGGGCAATGGCACCACAGGAGCTTTGGGAATGCACTGCCTCACAGGGGCAAGGAGTGAAAGTGGGGAAACTGAGGCACAAGACCACCATGGCCCGCTGTCACCACTGCCTGGCTCCCGCCAGTCCAGAGACACATCCCTGTTTTTTTTTGGGGGGTTGGGGGGGGGGTTCTCAATCACAGGAGAGTTGCTGGGTGCAGGGATCGGTGCTACAACAACCTGTGGCTTAATCCTGCACCCACAGAGGAGGTGCCAGGCAGGGCAGGCAGGTGGCCCATCATCCCCTGAGCAGCGCTGAGCTGTGCCCCGCTCCCACAGGAGCACCCCGAGGACGGCCGTGCCAGCATCTACCGCTCCGTCATCATCAACACCTCCAAGGAAATGATGTGCTTCAGCGACTTCCCCATCCCTGAGGACTTCCCCAACTACATGCACAACTCCAAGATCATGGAGTACTTCCGCATGTACGCCCAGCACTTCGACCTGCTCCGCCACATCCACTTCAGGGTGAGGGCTGGGGCAAGGGGGAGGTGGCAGCGGGAACGGGGGCACAGGGTGCCTGACACCGCTCCCCTGCGCCCAGACCAGCGTGTGCCGCGTGTCCAAGCGCCCCGACTTCGCCAGCAGCGGGCAGTGGGAGGTGGTGACGGAGAGCGAGGGGCAGCAGGAGGCGGCCGTCTTCGACGCCGTGCTGGTGTGCAGTGGGCACCACACCGACGCTCATCTCCCGCTCAGTTCCTTCCCAGGTACTGCCTGTGGGCTGCTCGCCTGCTCCCTGACATCCCTAAATGCCTCTGCAGTTTTACCACACCAGGGGGGATTGCATGAGTGTCCCAAGCATCCTGCTGGCAGATACCACCGCTGCCAGCGTGCCTCTCCCACCTGAGACAGGCTCCCTCTCCATGCTGCTGGCCAAGCAGCTGCTGGGCCCTCCAGCTCCTCACCAAGGCTGGAGGGCTCAGCACTGGTGGTGGTCTTGCCTCTGGGTTCCAGGAGAAAATGCCTGAAGAGCTTTCAGCTGTGGAGACCCTCTTTGGCTAGGGAACAAGTTGAAGCACACTGTCACCAGGGTCTGGCAAGGTGGCACAAACCCTGGTTATTGCTCTACTGGCAATGCATGGCACCAGACAGGATCTGCAGCAGAATTTTGGGATGGAAGCATGGAATTCTCCAGTCCAAGCTCTGTTCCAAGCCAGGCTAGTCCCAAAGCCAGATCAGGATGCTCAGGGCTACACTGAGAATCCTCCATTTTGGTGATGCCACCACCTCTCTGGGCAGCCACCCCAGGGCTGCATAACTCCAGTTGGTCACACTGCTTCTAGCTTGTTCCCAAAACACACCACCAGTCTGAACAAGGGGCAGCCGCCCTCTGCTCCACAAGCCAGCCCAGCATGGCTTCCCTGTCTCTTCCAGGGCTGGAAAAGTTTGAGGGCTGGTACCTGCACAGCCGCGACTACAAGAACCCTCAGCCCTTTTTGGGAAAACGGGTGATTGTGGTTGGCGTTGGGAATTCAGGCATCGATATCGCAGTGGAGCTGAGCCACACAGCCAAGCAGGTGTGCTGGGAGAGCTCACAGGAATGGGACCCCAGAGGGCACTGAGCATCACCTTCCATCCCCTGTGGGCTCCCTAACCTCCAGCACCTGGCACAAGCACCCTGTCCCCTCTCTGTGGGGGTGGCTATGGTGGTCCCAGCAGCTGTGCTGGCTTCTCTGTCTCTGGAGCACAGCAGGGGCCCAGCCCGGTTTGAGCATGCTGCCGTGCCACCACCTCCGTTCTCCTTCCTTCCAGGTTTTCCTCAGCACCAGGCGTGGGTCCTGGGTGCTGCACCGGGTGGGAGACAGCGGGTACCCCTTTGATTTCAGCTACATCAACCGCTTCACGCAGCTCCTCCAGAACCTGCTGCCAAGTATCATCAGTTTCTTCCTGGAGCGGAAGCTGAATGCCCGCTTTGACCACACGCTCTATGGCCTAAAGCCCAAGCACAGGTGAGCACCCCAGCAGCACCCTGGGTACCTGCTCCAGCAATGCCCATCCCCCTGCCAGGGCCTGAACGAGGTCTGTGTGTGCCTTCCAGGATCTTTCACCAGCACCCAACCGTCAACGACGACCTGCCCAACCGCATCATTTCGGGCAGGGTGCAGGTGAAGCCGAACATCCAGGAGTTCACAGAG